GGGAAATTTGAAAATTTTTGAGTGGGTTAAAACTAATCGAAGAACATAATCCGTATTTGTTTTTTTAATCCGTATTTATTTTGTTTAATATCTGTGTTAAATTTTTGCTTTTATTTAATCCGTATTTGTTTTGTGTCGAGTCATTACTAAGTAAAATTATGTTTATAGCTCGATTGTTTTCTGTGATTCAGTCACGAATGCACTGTCCGTAATAGGCTGCATCAAACTTGGTCCAGCTCGAGCGACAGTGCATAAGTCGAAAGCTGATTTTAATCAGCGGCGGTCAGACAACCTCTGAGATGGATCTATCTCAGTCCAATTGATGCAATTAATTGGAAAAAGTATAGTTTGGGAGTTGTGAAAATTTGATTAGTAGCTGTTGCCATTAAAAATATACATTTTCGTGCAAAAGAGGATTTTTCAAGAGTATATAATACAGATCAACAATCCTGACAAGTATGATAGAGTAACTTTGACAACAGAATAGTTAAACATTCACTTGATTCAGGATGCTATTAGAGATTTTGTTTTCAGATATATCGAAGAGCAGTACAAATTAAGCCTCAATGTGAAAGCAGTAAATTACTTCCTCGAAGGATAGTGAATAATATTTGGTTTCTTTTTTGGTAATGCAACTGGTATTTCTTGTTGAAGGTCAATCTGAATATGCTTCATCCGAGAGTGCTGAGTAGGATTGAAACTTAGATGTGTTGCTCCCAAATTATCACATAACAATTTTGGTGAAGCTTTTATTGGGAGCCTGAGTTCCTTGAATAATGATAGCAGTCACACTGTTTCGGAGGCAGCATTTGCAAGAGATCTATATTTAGCCTCGGTCGATGATCTTGCTACATATCTTTATTTTTTTGAACTCCAAGAAATGGGATTTGATCCAAGGAAGCTTATATATGCTGAGGTGGATGTACGATCATCAAAATTGCCTGCCAAATCAGCATCGGAGTATGTGGTAAGATCAAAGCTGGAATATTTTTTAATGCGGATGCCATGGAAAATGGTTTGTTTCAGGAACTTTCACAGAACCCCAAAACCTAGATATAAATAACACCAAATACTCTTCACTTTCACAAAACCCTAAGAGTTATCTGATTTATAATCTCCCAAGTAACTCCCGTTTCTCTCTACCTAGTAATTTCTCTCTGTATATTCATGTCATCGTGTGTATATGTGTTTTCAATGTTTACGTATTTCTGTTTCGGAAGTTGTGGATTGATCAATTTTTTCTTGTTTGGCTCTAAAATTGGTCAGAAACGAAGGTTGTTCTGTATTATTTACAATTTTGTTTTGTAGTGTCCTTGGGAAACTAGAATCTGTTTATAGATTATTCAGGACTTTTGTTCATAAGTGTTTTCTGATTCGAATTTGCTAATTGTGTTTTGCAGTCCTAAAAAACGGATAGGGTGCTCGACTTGGAAACTCTTTGCTCTTGGTATGGGAGGTACAGGAAATATTTTATTTGCGAAGGTAAATTCATCGTTTTAATTCAAAGTATATTCTATTATTACATACTAGTTTATTCTCTTAGACATCATAAATGGCTGTGCTACTTTCTTGTAAATATGTGTTAAAAATTGGAGTTGCATAAAATTTGTTGTTGTTCGAGTGAAATGTACATAAAACTCTTTGATGTTGCTTATGAAATTCAAAATTTGCGGTAGTTTTAAGTCTGTACTATGATAAATAAGAGAAAATGGAAAGAAAAAGAAAAAAGTTAAGGACCTCCTTATACAAAGTGAAGCTTGGGATCATATATATAATTTTTGCACATTGGATCATTAATGAAATTGTTCAGGAATATAATTTCTTGAACTTAAACTTGAAAAAACACCACTGGTCCATAATCTTTTACTTAAGAAGTAAGTTGGTTCCCCACCTATAAAAGTAGCAAACTAATCTTCAAACATTCATTATTATCAGTCTGGAATCCAGATGGGGCCGTGCGGATTCCAAACGGCCTAGTCGTCTGGAATCCAGATAGTTGACTGGGCTGCCTGGAACTCTAGGATTTTTTTTTCTAATTAGTTATTTTAATTGTTTAATTAATATTTAATTTAATTGTTTATTTAACATTTAATTTTAAATATTAAATAAATATTTTATTTAATTATTTATTTAATTTTAAATTAATTATTTTAATTATTTATTTAATATCTAGTATTTAATTTCTTTTTTAAAAATTTTATTTAATATTAATTATAGTTTAATTTTTTCTTGAATTTTTAATTATTTATTTAATATTTAATTGAAATAAATAATTAACAATTACAAAAACAATTAAATATTAAATAAACAATTTAAATAAATAATGAAATATTCAATTAACAATTAAAATAAATAATTAAATAAACAATTCACTACTATTATCACAACATTAAAAGAGGGGATGTGGTGTGTACTGTTCATTTGTGTACCCTCGTTTTCACATTTGACTTTTTGTACACCTTTGAATATATGGTTCTTCTTTAGTCACAGCCACAATTGTTGAAAAATCACATTTGCTTCTACAGTGGAGCCATAATTCAACCGCCTCTCAATCTCAATCTCAACCTCAAGAACAAATAGAGATAATGGTCAGCCTATCAATTATTGAGTTCTTTCACACGTGAGATTTGGTTTTCGATCGGGTGCTCCTTCTTTGTACGTCTTCACTTTCCCTTTGTCAGCTTCTTCGTGTTGACTGATTTCCAAAAACAAAATCACAGGCTTGAAATCGGTCTCTCCTTCCGTTGGTGGGCTCTATCACTTTTTTCGTTCTCGACCAAATCGCTCGAATTTATTTCTATAATCTCTCTATCTTGCTTTTACTATTTACTATTATTTATGCAATCTTTATTTTATGCACAATTATTTTGCTACGGGTAAAATGGTTTCCATTTTGGGTTCCTTTGGCCATCCACGCTCTGTCCTTGAAAATGTCTCTCTTCTAAACATCAGATGAAATTATTGAAACAGACTCGAAGCCTAAAAAATAAAGCTTACGTAATTTTTGGCTTTTAGGCTGGAGACATTGGTCTGGCATCGGTTTCATAGCCTTTGTAGCAATTTTTGGCAATCAAGTAAGAAATACAACCTCACTTACCTGTGTAGTCCTTAATGAAGAATTCCCAACTAGAACTCTACCAATTAACAATAACTTGCTACTTTTGAAGTTAAGACTTGAGAGGTTAAGAGGTTGCTTTGAGGTTTTTTTTTCTTTATCCTTAAGAATGTGAACATTGTGATATGCCACTGTACCATTCTCGTACATTTACTGCCAATATATATGAACTTTTGTACTTTTGTGAAAGAACACTTCAGCTACATTTGTATTCTCAATACCTCTTTACACACAACAAACCAATGCCCTCACCCTAAAAGAAAAACATGAGTGAAAATTATCTACATCATTCTTATAACAATAGGCAGTCACAATGTATTTCTTCTACTGCTCTGAGAAAAAAAAAGTCTACCTATGTACAGTAACCTAATGGTAAGTTTTCAATTGAAAGTCTACTAAAGTGCAATAAAATGCTACTTTTGACATTAACAAGTTCTTGTAAATATTTTAGTTCCCCGTTTATCCTTTTGAATACAAACATTGTGAACTATGACTGAATCATACTTGTATAATTCCTACTAGTATCATATGAAACTTTGATTCCTTATTAAAAAATAGACTCAAGTTGCATATTTCATGCTAAATATAATAATTATGTTAGTAGTATTATCATCTATTAAACACACGTTTCAATTCATTTGTATATTGAACAATTACATTCATAGCTTAATATCATAAATAACTTACCTCATTTTATTAGCCAAAATCAGCTTTTGAACCCATTGACTAATTTATGAAAATACTTATAATAGTTAAAAGAGTTTTTAGCATATTTATTAGTTTTGATCCTAACATCAACCTGGTCGAACCGGCGAGTTAGTGGATGGACCGATGGATCAATACTTCAAAATTTTAAAAAGTTTTTGAAAGTATAAAATTTTCTTTGAGATTGAAAGTTTTTAAATTATGTTTCATTAATTATTTCTATATTTCAAAGGTTCAAATCTTTTAAACACCAAAAATTTAAGGAAAAACTTTTGAAATTCGGTCAAACTAGTCAATCAGACCGGTTTAATATAAAAACAGTTGGTTAACTCGATCAAACTCGATTTTTGATTGAGTAATTTGTATTTCTATTGAATTATTCTACTCGATCCGATAAAGGGCCCAAGTCGTCGATTTTCAGACTTGGTCGACCGTTCTGTGTCGAATTTTATAACTATGATTTTTAGAAGAAGTTGGTCCATTGTGACTTCCATTTAAAGCACTTTCAAAATGGAGAGTGTTTTTAAAAATAAGTTTTCAAACAAAAATTAAAATAGTTTCCTCCTCCTTTTACGAAAAGCAAAAGTCATGCCAAACAAGCATTAAGTTTTCTTTAATTTGAAAAGATTTGATTTGACTTTAGCAATGAAACAACAATTATACTTTTACCTTATCATATTGTACTTTGTTAAAAAAAATGGCCTTCAAAATCGAGGTATTCAGGAAATTCTTCTTAGAATAAGAATTCTGGACCTAATCAAGCTAAATGCATAGAGTAGCTACAATGCTTTAGAGGGTCTATGTTGTTGTTCTTTATAGTTCTCTCCATATCTTCTTTAATAACCTATCAAAAATTGATCATCAGTGCATGGAAGAAAATTCAAAAAGGACAACTTGTAGTAAAATTATCTACACATAAATCAACAATTAAAAAAAAAAAAAAACTAAAATGAAAATCAAGTAGTAGCTTTGCTAAGAGTGAATCAATAAATTGATAATTATTTTCATAAAGATTTACATAAAATTTCATGTATTGGTGTTACCATGTGCCAACCATTACTTGATTAAATTTCTGAGTGTTAACTTTGCATAAAAGACTTATAAGCCTACTTTACTTGCAAATCTCTACTTCTACACAGTAGAGCTCAGATGAAATCGAACAACAAAATGAATGAGTATAATATGAAGAAAAAAAGAATAAAAATGGGGAAATCATGAAAAACAAAACCCATTAGGACTACAACTATACATCTTCTCAGAAGAAAAGCTAGTAATTTCTGAATATTTTCATAATGAAACTAACCACATTTTACTTCTTTTACCATTATTATTCTATTTTTAACTCCAAAACGAGGATAACTTATAACTTTCTTATTTTGTTAAATTTAATTTTGATTTCTTCTATTTATCTCCTGGGGCAACTAAAACGATAAATGCATTTCTTTCATTTGAAGCGAAGAGTCTTACATACCCTAAAGCTATCATCTTTTGGCAATAATGATTTAGCAACTGTCGAAACTTCTAACAAGATGACTTGAATCTTATCCATTAAACCAAAAACCTTTAGCATCAACTTGTCATGCTGAAGAGAAATTGAAGTTTCTAGTTTTGCCGCATTGGCTGCCATTAAAATAATTAGGTTACTTATGCAAATAAATACACGGGGATCAGCATCAAGTGCATATGAAATTCAATAGCAACACAGAATCATTAAAGAGAGAAAGTGACCTGATAGATAATATCATTAAGCTCATCTTTCAGTAGTAGAGTAAATAATTATTTATTTAAATTGTTTATTTAATTATTTTTTTTTCATGAATTTTTAAAGTTGTTTACAAAAAAATTTTAATTGTTTATGTAATATTTATATTAATTGTTTATTTAAATTTTTTATTTACTAGTTTGTCGCCCGTGCAATGCACGGGTTGGGATTATTTTGAACGTGATGTTAGCGTTTCTAATATAGATATGAGTTTAGTGATTAAAGAAACCAAATGAATAGGTTGGCGTTATGTGGTCTATTAAACAGATGGAATTGTCCATTTAATTAGAAATTAGGGCCTGTTTGATAACACAAAATTTTCTAGGGAAGTTGTAATTCATTTTTCATTTTCCACTTTTTGGCTGTTTGGTAGGTTAAATTTTCCATGGAATTCATTTTCCACCCTTAACCTCATTTTCCACCTAATTCTTGGTTTTCCTTGAAAACCAATTCTCACCAATGGTTTTCTAGGCTACTTTTTTTTTGGCAATTGGAATGAATTTTATTCCCAATTGTAACAAATTATATCCCTTTAATTGACAATTTTCATAAAAACAAAGCCAAACGAATGGTTTTCGGTATGGTAATTTTTATTTTTATTTTTTGTTTTTTGACAATTGGAACAAATTTTAGGCCCAATGGTAAAAAAAATTATCACTTTAATGGATAATTTTCATGAAAAACGAAGCCAACCGGATACCGAACTTTCAACATTTTCTAGTGGAAAATTATACCAATCAAACACAATTAATTACAATTCCCAGTAAAACAAATTCTAGGCAATTTGATTCCCTATAATTCATTTTCTTTCTATTCAAATTCCATATTTGCAATTAAACGGACCCTTATTGACATGTAGACAATTGAAGCGGGCTTGCTCTAGCCTCCTGCAACTGAAGCGCCATAAACCCCTCCCCCAAGTGAGTTGAAACTCTTAAGCAGCAACAGACGGCTGCAGGGGACCTACTATGCCATTCATTATTATCTCTCTTTTACGTTTTTCTTAAGCCCCAGATCAAATTAGCCAATTTTTAAATTTGACTACTCACTCAAATCCATTAATTTTTATGGGTCCCACTACTTTTACTCTTTTTTCAACCACACATCCCAAAAATTTAATTGGTCCTTTTGAATTATTAGCTCCACCAAATGGGGGCTTAATGTAGTCTATATTTTTTCGATTTTTTTCTTATCTGATTCTTTTCTTCTAAAGTTAAAGCAAGACAAAATCTTGACTAGTTGGTATGTTGTTTCATTTGTTTAGACATTTATAATATTTATCGAGAAGATTTTGAAGATAGGGAGTTGATTTTTACATTCCCATTAATGGTTGGATGGTCCAACTCAGTGGAGCGCAAGTCTAAAAATGTTTATGCAAAAAAGAAAAAAGAAGAATTTGATTTGCTGCTCACGAATGACAATGTAAGAATATAATTTATGTGAATTTTTAGTCACTCTACTTGAATTTTCTTTAATTTTCAATTAACTTTGTTATTTTCTCTTGTTAGATTATGTGGCAGTCATATGCAAGATTACGTGATGATTTTTTGCCTGACTATCTTGCTGGCCAGATGGATGTTGCGTTTTCACGCACAATTTTGATATGTTTTGAGAAACTAGCACATCACAGGCCGGACTTGTGCCCACTAAAAATGAACTTACAAGCTGATTTAGTTCCAGTTGAGCCATCAGTAACCATTGTCAACAAGAAGCGTACCGCTTCTCAGAAATTTGACTGGAATGTGAGGCATGCTGTTTTTGTTAAGATGTGGGAGGAGAGAAGATTACATTTGATTGTAAATCGAAATGGTAATTTATTTATTTTGTCTTTTTTTTTTAGTTTGTTAAATTTTACTTATGTTTCAAATTATTCATGTTCATTTTATGTTTGGTGGATGTAGGTGAGAATCAAGGAGCTTCAACTTCAAATGGNTGCCTCATTATACTTTTATTGAATATTTCTATTGTTGCTTATTTTTCATACCTTAGATCTTCCTTCTTTGTTATCAATTTACTTTCGTTTTTTCGTCTTGCTTTTAGATCCTCACATCGTACACGCAAATGTGCATTCTCTGCTACTAACACTTTAAGGTTTTCTACCATTTCCTGTATATCCCCTGCGGTATATGTTCATTTCTGTCGATGGTAGTACTATGCGGGAAAAACATTAGCCTAAAACTTTGCCGATGCTCCTTCCCGTTTTCTTTTAGGATTAATATCACTTTTGGCTGAGTTATTGCTAAATTCCTCTGTTTTGGCCTCTAATGCATCTATCCTTTCTAGATCTATTTCCATTGAGTTTAATTTCTTAGGTCTCAAGAATTTCTAGCTTTTTCAGATAAGATGAGATTTTGTGATCTACTTTCTTCAAGTTTTCACATACGGCTTCTATTTGTTTACAACACAAATATGATCGACAAATCCTACTTACCTAGCTATGAATTTCACTTCTTAAACTCACTAATTTTAATGCTCAAACTGGAGCAAGAAGGCAAATAGCTATTTGAGAGGGAGATATTTAAATTACGTACAATCCTCTTCCAACAAAGGGGTATTTATAGATTTTCCTCCAACTTTGGGGAATTTTGGTTTTTTTAGAAGAACGACAGATGGCGGTTCCTCATTGGTTTATTAGTAACTAATTCTGTTACAAATGTCATGCCTTATGTATATCTTGACAGCATGTGACCAGTCAGGCTGGAGGAGCAGTTCGCATCTTTACTTCATGCGAACCTTTCCAGCCCTCTTTTACTTCGCATATTGTTATATGCTTCGCAGACCATTGTCTAAGGTTCGTGGAATATATTTAACAGTATTAAATAAACTGATTGGAGTAATGAGTTGTTTAGTGACACTAAGGGTGCGTTTGATTGCATGGGTGGAATGAAAATGTTTTACAGGGAAAAGATGTGCCTAGAAAATGTTTTGCAGGGAAAATGATTTCAAGTGTGTTTGATTTGTATGATTTTTTACCTAGAAAATTTTTAAATTTTCTATTCGTTTGACTTTGTTTTACATGGAAAGTGTCTATTAAAGTGATAATTTTTTCCACAATTGGTTATAAAATTTGTTTCCATTGCCAAAAAGTAAAAATATATTTTTTGATTAATGGAGCCCAAACAAGGGCTTAATTGAAGACTTATTGGAGCTTTCTTGAATAAAATTAACTCTCTTCAATATTCTATGTTCTACATGACCAATTCTATTTCCTATATTTCCCAATTCTTGGCATTGCCCTACCAGTGGTGTATAGATGTAGAAGGTCCACAGGGAACTTGTGTCATGTAAAAGAAGCAGATATGGTACGTGGGAAATAAGCATCTTCTAGCTCCGTGCCAACATTGAAATGCTTTATTATGGACGTTGTAGATAGTTTGCGATTTATTATAAGTATTAATTTTTTATTTTGTAGCTTTTAAAATTATTGGCTCATATTAAGGATTACAATTTAACACACGTCAAGGACAAAACACTATCAACTAATCTGGCTAGTATTATGCATTCTTGATTAGTGTGAAAGGAATCTAAGTTCTCCTTATGTGATTTTTCTTTTGTTTTTCTTTTTTCCCTGGTATACTTAATGAGATGTAAATAGAAACAAAAGTCCGCCTTCTGTCATTCTTTCTTGTTATCTTAACTGTTAACTCTTGATATCTCCAGAGTCTCTTGATATCCTAGAAGGTTGGGTCCTTAAATTATTCGACGGCGTCAAGAAAGGCTCTCTGATTAAGTCAGATACATGTTTAGATGGTCCTATTTGGAAAGCTGGCAAAATTTATAAATTAGAGGTTGATAAAGATGTTCATTCACTTAATTTGTCATGGACATTACCTTCCCTGCAAGAATATTATCCAACGAAGGCTGAAGATTACTTTTCTCATCTCCTTGGACATGGTAAGATGATTTTCTGTTAGTTCTTTCGTTGGTTGGTCATTTCTGTCTTTAAGGAAATGATAGAACGTTTCACACTGAAAGAAAGAGATATTTATTGTGCTTCGGCATCTGGTATTGGTGTAGTTGTGTTTGATTCACTTGGCTTGTGGCACTGCTTTCTCCCTGATTTGGAATCTATGCTGTGGCGGAATGAAGCACATAATTTGATAGATTTAGTGGGACAAGTGAATAAAAACAATGTGTATAAGAACAGTATAGCCATTCTTCAATGCATTTCAAGCACTTACTAGAATTATGAAATACAATCCATGCTTCTGGTTCTTCTTTTATCATGCTTTGCATCCTATTTTTGCTCTCTATTTTCAGTCTTATTAAATTTTTAGTTACCTTCATTCATATGAGTAGGTTTCTTGTTTATGCCTCTCCAGAAAGAATTTAAACACTGGCCATTTTGGTCTAAAAAGCTCTATAAAATTTCATGGACTTTTACTTCTATTGCAAATCATATTGGAGTGCTAGCAGCTACATATGTTGTGAGGAATGTTCCGGATTTCGTACTGATTTGGAAATCAATGAAGGTAAGAGTAGAACTGGATAGTTTGATCCTAAGTCTATAATAGGTCAAGTGCTTATGAGGTTTTGTGTCTCTGTTGATGGTCTAAATATTTTTCATAGAAAACATATTGATAATGTTGTTGAGTTTATCCATGGCGGAAATCATCTTTCATCTTAGATGGAAATAGTATTTATCAATAAGTTGTGAGAGCAGACAAGAGGCCGGACTCATTTAGACAGTATTTTGTGTCTTCACATCTGTTTACACTAATTTGTCGGTCTTTCTTCTCTATTTTACTTCGATCGAACTAAAATTTACATTCGATATATGTTGACTGCAGTTGAATACAATCTATAGTAAGATGCAATTTACAGAGAATTGGCGAGATTTAGATGGGGGAGGATTTATTAGATTTGCAATTAATGTAATCCAAGTTAAAAACACACATTATAGAGTACCAGAGAGATTCAGATGTAATAAGATTTCTCTATCTTGTATTTATTTGCATTCATGACTATTCATAGCGGATCCCCATTATTTTGTCTCATTTTGTCCTTTTTTTCTATTGTTTTAGCATTTATTTGTGCTACCTTTCAAATGAAATGATCTTGCCTTAGACTGCACAGAGTAGATGAGTTGAACAACACTTAAAATGTTTTTTTTTGTCCACATGCTACATGAAGTAGAATATGAGGCCTATTGACCATACGTTGCACGTTTAAATCATGCTATTTTATTGATTTATTGATTTAAGGGTCATATTGGAGTGAAACAGTTCAAAAAGAGTTGATCTTGGGGAAATACAAAATTTTGTTGGGGTGGTTCAAAAAGTACACGTAAAGGTAAATCTAGGTGGGTGATGGGAATATGTTTTCATTTTTTTGCAGTTTAAATGTGTCTGCTAACACATGCATATGATATTTATGGTCTTATTAGTGTAGTTCGTACACAAATGCTTATGCCAACACTTGAAGTACTCATATTTGAATTGAAACTAACATGATTTCAGAGGGTAAAGGGGGCTTGTTTTTTCTATTAAAAGCTAGAGGTCGGGCATATTCATTTGTTGCTGGTGTTGCTAAAGACGGCATGTATTGCTCTTCAATTGCTTATATTTTTCAAATAGATATACACCTCACAGACTCTAGCTTGGAGAAGGTAATTTTTTTCCTTTTCCTGTTCAAGAAGTTCGGGAAATATCTAATCTCACTTGTTAATTAGCTCTTTTGGTAATTTAGGGGCTGTTCTCTTTGTTGTTTTCGGACCGTTTTCTGTTTTCGATTTTTCAAAACAGTGAAAATGCATTTTCTTTCCCCTTTTCGAAAATGAATTTTTGAAATTTTTTTTTTTTTTTAACTGAAACTCAAAACGTCTCTTTAGACGTTTTGAGCGTATTCTTCCTTTCTTCCCAAAATATGAAGACGCGGAAAACAATTCCATTTCTCCCTAAATTCTTCCTCCTACCGATCCACCGCTTCCTTTCATCAATGACTTCCACCACTCGTCACCTAAGCTGTCGGACCCCCACACCGCCAACACCCCCTCACCTCCCTCTACAGCCTCCGACCATCGCCGCCCACCAGACCGTCGGAAACAACTTCAATTCCCTTCCAAAATTGCGAGCGTGGTCACGATTTTTCCCTAGTTACTTCCACATCCGGCCACCCTCTCGATCGTGGAGCACCACCACCACCACATTTCTCTCAACCAGGCACATCTAGTTCTACCATGGGTCAGCCTCAATTTCGTCTGGAATCGGCTGAGCTTGTTGGAGCAGTCCGGTAAGTTATTTTCGAATAGTTTGGAATTTGAAATTTGTTTGGTTTTTGGTTTCAATTGTTATGGAATTTATTTGGTTTTGCATCTAGTTGATGATCTGGATTTGGTTTTGTTTCCAAATTTTGAATTTTTGGTTCAGTTATCCTGGGCTGTGTATTGGGTTTTGGGGGTAATTGATTCTGAAGTGCCCTTTGGGGTTTTTGGTTCCTGAGTTTTGTTAGATATTCGGGGTAAAGGTTTTTGGATTCTCAGGGTATAAATTTTTAGGTAGATTGGATTGAATTGAATTGATGAGAAATAAAAGTTCAAGTCCTAGGGATAGGGAAAGTTGAATGCAATCTTCATCATTCTCATCCAGTTCTTCGAATTCGTGGCAACAAGAACATCCTCAATCAATATATTCACAATTTCAGAACATCCTCAATCAATATATTCACAATTTCATATTGTGGATGTCAAATTTCATGATTGTATTATAAGTTCTAGCTTAAATCCTGATTTTTATCATGTTTATTTGAGGAAGGCAGCTTTCTGAACTATTTGCTGTTTTAGCTTTGCTCATTTTTCGTGAATGTTGCAATTTTATCACATTAGGAGGTGCTCACAAGCTAGTAAATGAATGTAGTTTTACTGGGTATTTAGGTCACTCGTGTTTCATCTATTGTAAAATCTTATGTATATCTTGCTTACGCTAAGAAAATATATGTTTTATTTGTCATTAAGCCAACAATTCTTAAGAATCGCCTGTTATCAAGCTAACAATTATTATTATGTTCTGATTTCTTTGAGACTTGCTTACGCTAAGAAAACTTGATTTGAAGACAAGGTTGACCTTTTCCTTCCAGCAGATATACATGTGCGGAATTTTGCTCACAGGAACTCAATTTGCGTCCTGTGCCTCAAATTGATGGATGCACATGGATGGGCCCTAGAGTAAGATTGCCAGTTGTTTTATGTTTAAACTTGTGAAAATTGAAGCATAACCTATGCAAATTCAACCATGTAAGTGGCTTCTGGTGTAAGTTATGAGCAACTCAGAGAATAAACTTTGCTTGTGGAAATATTTGTAGTAACTCTTTCCTTTATCATTCTAATGACAGTGCATTGGCATTGTGTTGATGCCTTGTACGCGTGATTCCTATTGTTGCCGTTCTTAAGTTAGTTGTATAAATTTGGTAGTGTGCAATTTTTAGTTTCCTTGTGATGGTAATGTTTGTACCTGGAATTTAGAATTACCAGTTGCATTGTCTTTTATGAGCACTTTGTAATCTGTATGGCTTCCTTGCATCAACCATTTGGGATTATACAAAGTTTTATATGGGATTGTGGTTGAGCTTGGTTGTGACTTGATGCTAAATGAGTGTTCTCTAATTTTTATAGGTCTCCAAAAGTCTCAAAAACATAATTGGAATGCTTCGAACTCCTAAAGAAGTTTTCAAAATGAACGAGGAAAATGGGAACCAGTGGTGACGCTTAGGTGTGGTTGATTTGGTTCAACTACAGAACAAGACTTGTAGGATTTGCCCAAGGATCAACTATTTGGCGCCTAGCACCGGTCATACTATTTAGGCAACTGAATTTCGAACGCACATAACTTTTTGATCTACACAACTCTAAAGTGCAATTTATTTATTTATTTATTCTTTGTGATGAACTTCAAATTCAAACATCTTGTAATTGTTATGTCATTTGTGTTGTGAACATTTTTGTACCTAATTTTATGCCTAATTTTATGCTCTAATTTCTTCACGTACTCGGCATATAGCTTCCTCATTTTGCTTTTTCGACCTTCTGATGTTTGATCCATCACTGCTCATCTTTATTATTAATTCCGATCACCTTGTTCAAGTGGATTTTCTCTTCAATTCTTTAGCCACCTTGTGTCGTGTCCAAGTCTGGGTACCCAAATATTTCATTTTTTGGCCCTTTAATGCTTAAAATCACTTTATTTTCCTTAAATCATCTAATTGAATTGATGATTAGGTTTTGTTGTGACTTGATGCTAGTTAATTCTTGTTACAAGTTAAACACAAGGACAAAAACAAGGACTTACCAAATTTAATTTATGTTGTATTTTTTATATATGGAAAAAAATATTTCAAGATTCATCAACTTTAAAATTTATATGTTATTTAATACTATATTAACATTAAACTATTAAAAATTATTGAATAATTAGATTTCTTGAACAAAATATTATAAAAAAAATATTCTCAAAATTTTAAAGTAAACGTATTTTTCATTTTTATGTTTTGAGAAACAGTTTTTTAAAACAACAAAAAAAAACGCATTTTCAACAATTTCAAACAAACACTCAAAATACAAAATACAAAATGAATTTAAAACTCAAAATTGAAATACAAAGAGAACAACCCGTTAATGGCATGCACAATATTATATTTGCTTGGGACTTGAAGAATGACTGCAATTAGGATTAGATTTTGGGTTTTACTTTGGGGTAATTGACGCAAAACGTCCCTACCTATGACATGCTTTGTGGAAAACGTCCTTACGTTTGATTTTTTGGTGCAGAACGCCCCTACCTTTCACATTCTTTGCGCAAAACGTCATTTTCCCCAATTTTTAACATAAAATGCCCATTATGCCCTCCTATATAAATAAAAGAGAAAAGAAAAAAAAGAAAAATAAATAATAAATTGTAATCTTACTCCTAAACTTTTTAAAAAATACATGAGTCCAAAATTTATGAAAATATTAAAAATAACACTCTCTTGTCCTCCGCCTCCCTCGCCTCCTCCACCGCCGCCACCGCCGTCAATTGAACCTCCGGACATTGGTACCAATATTTCCATTTTTAGTCTAATTTTATTGTCTCTGAGCTTTGTTCTTCAACTATATTTTATTTTCATGAATTTCAAGAACTCTGAAACAAGCCCAGTTCAAGAAAAATGAAAACTTCATGTTGGGTTTTTAAGCAAAATTCAAGAAGCATTTAATCTTTTGATTCCTCTTCTGGGTTTCTTGAGAGGATTAAAAGACATTTTTTAACACATTGAAGTCTTGAATGGTATTTCAAGAACCTTCCTAGGTTCAGCCGGCCGAAATGTGCTAGTAACAGAGGAAGAAGAAACTTTGGCACTCGGCAATTCAGATCTGATGCTCCTGATGCTAATTCAGAGAAGCAAGATGCATATTTTATTTACTAATGCTACTGTAATTCAGGCAATTCAGATTTTATTTGCAATCTTACTCCGAAATGCACTAATTCAGATCTGATGCTCCTGTAACAGAGGAAGAAGAAACTTCGACATCAGAAGAAGCGCAGTCAAGTGGATTTACTTCGAGGCAGCCACCACCACCCACCCAAACGCCGAAAGCCGCCACCACCCACCCAACACCGGCACACAATTTCACGACCTCCCCACGTATATATAAATCTAAATGTACATGCAATTGAATCACATAAGATTGAATCTTGGCCATAACCCACAAGGAAACTATATGTTTCTATACACATGATGCTTAAGAGATGAAAACACAGATGGGTTTTTTCTGTATAAATTAATGGTTTCAGCAGTGATGGAAGTAAATAAGCAAAAGGCTTAAATCTTTGAGAGAAAAATGAAAAGAAGTTTGATATGGGTGAGAAAAACGAAGGCCAGACGTCTGGGATGTAAGAAGATTTAGAAAATGGATTGAGATTTGTAGAGATCCATGTAGTTTTCAATTGAAGATTAAGAGATAAATGGGATCGTGCATAATTATGTATGTGAATAGATATATCATTAATTTTTTGTTATTTTTAATAGTTTATAAATTTTGGACTCATATACATTTTTTAAAAAGTTCAGGAGTAAGATTGCAATTTATATTTTATTTTTCTTTTCTTTTCTTTTCTTTTTTTTATTTATATAGGAGGGCATAATGGACATTTTATGTTAAAAATTGGTGAAAAGGATGTTTTCCGTAAAGAATGTGAAAGGTAGGGGCGTTCTGCACCAAAAAATTAAACGTAAGGACGTTTTCCGCAAAGCATGTTATAGGTAGGGACGTTTTGCGCCAATTACCCTTTACTTTGCCCTGATTCAATAATCTTATTTGTTCTTTTGAATGTCCATAAATGACTACTTTATCGAAAAATAGACATATTGTTTTGATAAATTCTCTCGTTTTAAAGAACTAGTTAGGATTTTCTTGCATTCTTAGCGATTGTTTATTTTAGGGTAAAGACGAAAAGTTACATTTAACTTCCACCATTTCAACTCTTAGCTAAATCTCCAAGGCATGCAATTTTGAATGCAACAATGAAGCTGGATCATTAGGAATCAATAATTCAAAAAATAAATCTGATCAAGTTGCCAAGTAGCAAGAGTTCAGAATTGATTCTAATTTTAAAATAACACTGTGAAGCTGATTAGAAAAGTATTACATCGACGAGGTTTCATGTTTCATATTTTAGCTATGGTCCATGGGATTTTTTGGTATCAAAATTGTTTGACTTCATTGCCAAGTCATGAACTTATTGTCCCATGTTTTATGCTAATACCAAGCAACATTTATCACCATTACCTGTATCTTTCCCTTTGTATGCTAATAAGTTGAATCACAAGATCTTTGATCCATGTTACGGCATAACACATGCTACTGACGATGCAGATCTTTGATATCATTGGCTCTGTCTATCAATATCTCAAAAGACCGCGCCTACTTTCTCCACAAGAGTGAATTTTTAATGAACTCCAAGATATTGGGAAGTTGAAATTTGTACTTGTAGAGGAAACTCCGACTGATTATGCTGCAAAACTTGCTGGTACTTTTTAGTCAATCTCTTTTAGCTGCTTTTCAATGGGATATTATTTATTTTATTATTCCCAGTTGTAATTGTTACAAATTGCTTTTGTTTTCTCATGTGGTATATTTTGTATTGCCCCGAATAGTTTTAAGTATGCAATATGACATTTTTTGCGGTCATTGTTTTGGTTTCCCATGTTGAACATATGGTAGCTCTAAAATGCTTCTACCTAAAACAACGATGTCTTTCAACATATGGTAGACTTATTTTCATTTGTGAGCATATGTCAATTATTTTCTACAAATTCAGTAAGTTAAGTGTGAAGAATAAACGTGAGTAGGAAGGAATGGTACTGAAATCTTTTTGCATGTCAATTTTTGGTCCTAGACAGTGTTTTTGTACATACCAACTTATCCGTATGCATTGACAAGTACTTTTCATTGCAGCACAACTACACATATATTCTCTAAAGCATGTTATCTATGGGGAATACTCGTATGAAAGCTAGGACGAGGAGATGATAAAATATATTTTGGGTTTCTTTAATCTTGGAAATATGAGAGTTGACCTAATAACAAAGTCTTTTGACAAGTCCTTTGGCTTTTGCTTCAAAAGAAAAAGAAAAAAATCACTTAGTAAGTTTTTCTCGTATCAACTTTCATTCCTAACTAAAGTGACCTAATTTTCCACAATGGTAACACTTCTTATTGCTTTTATCTCTTGATTTGGATTTGGCCTTAGATTTGGATTTGAATCTTCTGTTGTTGAAGTTATGTTCTTTCTTTTCCGTTCTCCCTCTCACAAACATGCTCTCTTCTCTAGCACTTGTTTTATATTCTTTCTTAATCTCCAATTCCCGAGATCTTAAAGCATTAGTGACAATTGTTTGCATTAGAGCATCTCTTGAGTATTTGATTGCATTATTTATATCCTTAAACGAATCAGGTAAGGAATTAAGAAGAATCACGATAAGGTTTTCTTCATCAAATTTCTTTCCATTATGAGCCAAGCTCTTAACAAGGATACTAAAGTCGCTCAAATTAGCTTCCAAGTTCTTTCCACTATCCATCTTAAGAGATAGATCTTATTAGGCAATGTCTTAGTTAAGAACAAAGCATCTAATGCAGTCCACAAGTCCCTATAAGTAGTATGATCTTCAACTTGTCTTACTATATCATCAGATAGGTGTAATATAATAGAACTGTCTGCTATTTCATTCATATCTAGAATTTCGTCAGGCTTAGCTTTCAATTCATCAGAAAATGTTGCAGGATCATCAAGGGCTTTAGCAACCTTTTGTTGGACCAATATGACCCTCATTTTCTACTTCCAAATCGAGTAATCCCCTCTTCTATCGAATTGTGATAATTCGACCTTCGAACTTATCACAGATTCTATAAAGGGGTGGCTATTACTCGTGGACATAAGTGGTTTTCAATCTGAAAATCACTTTAGTTGCATAAAAAGTTTTGAAAAAAATTTCATGCAATGTATGACAAGTAAGCAAGACACCAGACGAAACAACAACACAATTAAAATATGCAGAAACTGAAGTAAGAACAACACAATCAATAACTGAGTAAACACAGTTGGTACCAAAACACACTCAGATTGATTAACCAGAAAGTAAACCCTATACGTGCTCCTATTGC